TTATACAATAAAAATATATGTATCGTATTTGTTCATGAATAGTTGTCAAGAGTTACCACTCATAATTCTAGTCGGGATACAATACAGAAATAACATCGTATATCTTATTAATGCATAAATAAAAAATCTGTAAAATACCAGCATGCCAAAATTGAAACCAAATACCATTAACTTCAATAGATTCAAATACGTTTATATATTAATCGTCTTTGTCATTTTTTCAGTAATAAAGGGCCAGAATTCTATTGAGTGAAATAAAGTCAGTAACAGTCACGAAAACAGCCATGAACATATAAGTAGGAGATAGATAAAGTATAACGAAAAATGAGTTCCATTTTAATTAAATTAGTTATGTCTTGTAACATTTCATTTTGGTTTTTCTTCATCACGACAGCATTAAAAATTCACATAATATGGGAGAAATCTGAAAAGTATCTCATTTTTGGAAATTGAAAGAAATGATAAAATAAAACACACTAAAAATCCTGTATACGTAAATTCCATATGGACATATACACACAATGACATATATATATACATTCAAACAAAGGACAGTTAAAAACACGAGGGGGGGAGAAGAAAAAGAAAAAGAAAGAAAGAAAAGAGGAAATAAGTTACAGAGAACAAAATCTGGGATCTGATTCAACAAAACTAAAATATATTCTTTCTTTTCAAATGTCAAACAATCATAATCAGTATAATCAACAGTTAAAAATCACGTATATATATATATATATAATTTAACTTAATAATTGAAATATCTGGAGGGGTTGTACAATCATAGAAAATCATTTGATTATTCTTTTTTTAACTTTTCATGTGACTAGGATGTTATTATTAAAAATGGCATGTAACCAATTCGACCAGGGAAAATTTTCAACTGGTATTTAAACTAATGGTCAACTTGTCTATTGTATATCATAAAGAGTCATCAATGTTTAATAATCAAAGTATGTATGACTCTTGTATAATTAAAATAAATCGGACACTATACAGTGTGCAAGTTGTATTTTATTTTCATTAAGGTTTTAAGGCTTTTGGTGCTTTATTTTTTACCATAATAATTTCCTAAATTCTAAATAGTGTATATGAAATCAATAAGGGTAAGCAAGAGTTTTATTTTCCGAGCCAAACATGATTATAAGGATAGTTAATTTTTTTATTATTTAAAATCACGCCACAGCCGAATCGGTACAAAATTGTTAAGAGATTTAAGAGCCTAAACTTTTGAGCTAAAAACTTATGCAAAAGCTATCAAATATGTAAGACTACAGATAATAATCTTATTTTGTACAAAAAAAATATAAAATATAAAGTTTGTCCATTACGAATGTTGTTTATTATGGATATCACTTAATAAATCACCACTCCAATTGTAATGAGTTACAGCTGATGATTGTAGTTAGAGATTATAATGAGTTCAATGGATCGATGTGAACTTTGCATGATCAAATTTTACTTTATACTGATACACGTGTGACAGTAAGTCACTACACACAACAGCGATTATCCTAAAGTTTTCAGCTCGTCATGTGATCACTTATTCTTTTTCTTAAATCCAGCTTTCTGTTAGTTCTCTTTATTCCGAAAATCCAAAAGTTATGCTTGGATGTCACTGACATTACCTTGAAATGGAAGATGTGTGAAACATAATGACCTTTGGAAACTTTCAGAGATGTTCTGAATGGATAAAATGAAGACGGAGTATTACTAATAAGAGATGTTTATATTATGGAGTATGATTAATATTTGACTATTTGTTTGCTCATTGTGATAACATTAATGAAAATGGCACTTCAAAGTTTAAATAACCGAAGTCTTATTCTATTTATCGTAATGCCAATTGAATATCTGTGGAGATTTGTTACAAACTCAAGATAGTTTTTATCATGAAATTACATCGGCCGAAGACTTATACTAGAAAACCAGGTATTAACTGGCCATTACAAACTGTTTTTTGTCTATTTTTAAACTTATGAAGATTTGCGCAATGAAGACTGTAAGATATTAGAAAACAAAAAGTTATTTCGCTAAGTACTTCATGAGACTTAGACTCTATTTGTTGGTCCTAGTTCTCCATTCACTAGACTTTGATAAGTATCTGTTGAATAGGTTTAAATATCACCTCAATCACCATGTATTTGATCTGAATATTATTTAAAGCAAGTTCACTACACGAGCTTCCCATTCAGATCTTATCAAAACTAATTCAGACAAATGTGAGTCAAATATTTTAGGAAACAAAGTCTTACTGATAGGTCCTACGTTCGAATCCCGCAAGCGGGATCGTGGATGCACACTACTGAGCAGTCCCATAATAGAACGAAACGGCTTCCAGGTCTTCTATGGGGGTCTAGCTTCAACTGACTCATGATCTCACGTATTGAAACTCTTACGCGGTGAATAATATTGATGAGATTTCTTCGAATTAATATCATGTTCCAGTTTCATTATAGCTGTTAGTTTACTAAAATGAAAATACATTTTTTTTACTGCATAGTAAATTTTCATATGAAGAACTTTTAAAAAAAGATACAGTTGTAGTAGAAAATCCTTTGCATATGACTGCCGATATACAATGACGATATTTCTCATTTAAACATATGACTTTATAGTTCAACTATAATGCAAACGTTCATAAATAAATCATATATATTTACATCACAATAATATGTATATATATTATTCTGGTGAATATACATTTGAATTCCTGACATTTGGCGACTTATTGTAAGCTTTCTCTTCGGATTAAATAAAATACATGAAATATGTTCACACTTTTATTTGATAAGTTGCTTGTGATGCATTTCTGAAGATAATTAAATACGGTTTATTCTATTATATAACATTCGGTGTATGTTTTTATCAACCACGAACTTGACTTCAACTAATCAATAAATACAGAAAACTACTTTAGTTCAGTTGACAAGTATAGAAAAAGTGAAAAAAATCTAGATATCTAATATCCTTTTTCAGTGTATAATTGATGAATTAGATGATAAAATAGAGGACAGTAGGTGAAATCCCTTTAGAAAAAATGCAGCAAAGTTTTGATTAATACACCTTTTATATCTGCAGTTCTCCTTAGAAGTTTATATAAATCCTTAGCAAACTACTATATAGAGAGTTTTCAAAGATATAATGACTTTCTTGAGATACATCTATGTTGTTAACACCTACAGTATAAGATAAAACTGTAACACCATCCTGATTATATAATGATGAAATACGTATGTGATTATTCTACAGAACTAAGAATATTGTTGAGGATATTTTAAATTAAACAAGTCTACTAGAATATCTTGTATAATTGTTCGTACAAATAGCAAAACTTTACAATGCAATTAATCCAAAGTAAAAGATTTCCGTCCTACTTAAACAAGTTCACGAAGTTGTGTATGTCGTTTCTTGAGTTTGACTGTTGATATCTTACCTCTTCACATAAATAACTGTGAACTACGAGTTATATTAGAAATGAACTAAATCCGTACAATTATAACAAGACTAAGGGAAGTTGAGACTTGGTGACAATTTTTAAAGCACTGTACTATAAATGGTTATGCAGTCGATACCTAGTGATTTTTGAATGAACTGAAAGATCAATTATTAGAGTTTATGATCAGATGCTTTAGTCATTGTTAAATATATTAAGGTTTAATAGCCTAATGGGTATTACCAAGTATACAAAGTTACGGAAACGAAGCTATAAAAGGGATAATTATGATAAAGAATATTTATGTGAACAACTGTTTACCATAACTTAATTACCAGACATTTTATTCAGATGGTTTAATTTACTAAATCGGTTGGAATCCGATAACTTACAATGGGTTTTCCGGCTACATTTTCGAAATATGTTAAATTTACAGTTGACAGATTTTAGATATATTTAAACTCTAAATGATGCAAAAGTTTACAATTTTAACATATAACACTATTCAGTTTAATTATTCATATATGCGAAACCGCCTCGTGAGATTCACATCGCTGAGGAGTCTCATACTAGGATGAAACGGCCGTCCAGTGCTTACAGGTTTTCCATGGTGGTCTAGCTTCAATCGACCCATAAATTCAACTACTATATTACTAAAATATCCACAAAACCCCTTTTTGATTATATTCATACGTGAAATTTCGAGCACTACACCAAAACGATTATGGACTTGTAATTGAACAACCTGATAAAGTTACTAAAAACAACAACTGCTCACTTGCATATTTTTTTTTCGGAATATTCTATGGAGGTAACTGTAAGTAATTTCCTAGAACGAGATTGAATACTAACAGAATTTCTATTCATCCGTATAGATCACCAAACTCTCAAAGGTACTTTGCAAAATATAGAGTCAAGGTAATTTACTTTTGTAGAAAGATGTTTTATGAAAGTATTAGGTTGGTTCACTTTTTGTATATAATTATATAAGTTAGGTTTAGATACCGTTGGATTTTCTTTTTAATTCATTTAATCAGATTTATGCTTAAGATCATATTTAACTACGAAAATAGAATTGCTGATATTTATTAAATTTGCTTCAATATCTTAACTGCAAATATTGTCAATTTTCAGTCAGTAGTTTCATCTTCCTTGTTTCACTGTTTTGTGTCAGCGTTTTATGTTAGCGTTCGGGTGCGAGACCTAAATCCCCAAGTTCGAACCCCGCGGGCGGGATCGGGGATGGGTACTGCTGAGGAGTCCCACAATAAGATGAATGGGCCGTCCAGTATTTCCAGGTTTTCAAAAGTGGTCTAACATCAATTGGTTCATGATCTTAATCAAAAAAGTTGATACTTTCCTTTCTAGAAATCCGACTTTATTTAATCTAAACTGAGTTTCCGCAAGCACGTTTTCTGATATTTGCAACAAAAGTTTTCTATTATCTGTCCAAGAGAAATCTTAGTATTGGTCATGTCCTTTTAAAAAATTGTTAATGGAATCCACATAAGAAACGTCATTACAAGCATATCCATCACATATCTTTAACATTTTTTTAAATATTCAGCACTCATTTAGGTGGTAACTCACGTCATTTGAAACAAAAGCATATTCAAAATTACAAAGATATGGCAGACAGAAGTCTTCCAAACAAACTCAAAAAATTAACAAGTGAACGAAGGGAAAAATCGAGAAAGTTTGGTCAAAACTGGCAGAAAAGAAGGAATGAATTACTTAAACGTCAAAGATATCGCCAACTTAAGGCCAAAACACAAGCATTTATTCAGTTAAATAAATTATATCAGCAGAAAGCTGACATATTAATGTTTACTCCTGAACAAAGAAAAAAGAAAGAGTTTTCTCAAGGTAAAAGAAGGTCTAAAAGGGCAGCTACAGCTTATGTTTCAAGAACATGGACAAACGGAGTTATTCCATACATAATACAAGCAAATTTTTCAAGTAAATTTAACTTTCTTTTAATCCATATGCTTAACTTTGGAATTTTCATTAAAAGGGGCAGGGTAAATGAAGTAGATAATGATATCAGTGATCAATTTTTCACTCTATATATTTTTCTAAAGAGGTTTTTACTACCCATTGTGACATCCTAATATGATCAATGATAATGAAATATTTATCCTATTTCATTTCGTATATGTTCTATAAACTTAACACATTTATGATGACAGTATATCAAAAGCCAAGAAATTGGTATTTAGGATACTTATATTTCAGACACGCTAATACTGAACGGCAGGAAATCGACAAAAGACACAGTGACTGTATAAATCATCGGGGCACGGTAATACACAGGCTCGGAGAATAATAAGCTGATTCAGTTTTTATAAGTTATTTAAAAAGTACGAAAAAGAGAGGAACACATAGGCACTTTTGTACATGCATGTATAAAACAAGATCATGGTTACACGTGAGCAACTAACAAGAAAGAATCTATGGGTTGTAAAATGAATTGAAAGAATTGTATAGTTCATCTGTTCGATTAAGTCACATAACAATATTAATTGTTACAGGTTAAGTTCATGTCACTGACAAATTCTCGGTGACTTTTTATTAAACCGGGATGATTCAGACCAGCTTTTTTACTTCTGATCATTTCGAACACTTTGAAGATATAAATCCATTAACTGAGCTCATGAATTTTAGTAAGCCACAGTATTTGAAATATATCAAACTTGACTATATTTTGAATCAGAGTTTACTGATTTAGAAGAACTATTTCACTATTTAACCAGCTGAAGTGGAAGGACTGTGTACTATTCAAATGTAGGAAGCAATTCATTAAATTTAGTTGTTCAATATTACTCTCTGTCACTAGTAAGTAGTAGTAATGCATGAGATGACACCTCGATACTTCTGCAGATCGTTTCACTCAGTTCATATGCAATGGAAGTAATAGTACTGTACAGCTATTGAATAGTCCAAACACTTACTGATTTGTCTGTCCTCCATGAGGAATTCGCTATTTGAATATGTGGCAGAGAAAAATACTCGACTTTACATTAATACCTGAATAGTTAATCTGTTATATTAGATCACTGTAATAATAATGCTGAAATATGTACATTGAATTTCGTTATGTTATTTGCGCTACTTATACTTATTGAAAGTAGCCAAATGTCGATAAACAAAATGTTTAGGGGAGCTGAAAACAGTTATGTTTAATTCAATTCCAGTTTTTGAAGTAAATGACTTGCTTTTTTTTAACGATCTACATTTGTTTTCAACGAATAAACCTTAGATGCGCTAAAGAGACTAATGAAACTTAAATTCTGTAAGAATGGTTATAGATGCTGTCCTGAAATTATTTTACTTTATTTGCTTTTTAGGTGAAACTAAAGCTACGATTATGAAAGCTATGCGACATTGGGAAAATTATACCTGTCTTAGTTTTGTTGAAAGGCAACCACATCACAGATCCTACATAATCTTCACTGAAAAGGCATGTGGGTAAGTGTTTAAAGAAGGAGAAAAAGATTAAGATTTGAGGGTAATTTTAATTGTACATTTATAGCTTCAAAAACTGAAGATTTTGAATAGTTAGACAAATGCAACCGTTTGTGAATTAATAATTCGTCCAATTTGTTCTAACAAATTTTGTATCCGTAAAAATTGGTTTCCACAAATTATGCATCGATGATAGAATTATGTAGATAATATTGAGGAAGGTATTACTTGATGAACTTTATAATTATTTTGAAAGATACTGTTTTTGGCTGCAGCAATTTTGGTTTACTAAAGTCTTGATTAGATTGTGTAATTACTATTTCTCGTCTTCAAAACACTAATGTTTCGTGTTCAGTTTTACTGTTCGGTTATGCATAATTCCAAATGAATATAGCCAACTTTGAATATCAACACAGTGTGGGTTTTTTGGATATAAGATTACGATGTAGGTTAATTTATTTGATCACATTTATAATTGATCAAGTTAAACAATGAATCCATACTAATGTGACCAAATTGTGAGGTCAGATACTAAGTTCATGATTTATGTCTCCTTTGATAACTTATCTATGATCACTACTGTTCATGAAATTCATTAGTCTCATTACAAATAGAATGCAGTAAGTGAATAATTTTTTACTTCTTATTCATAATTATGCGAGCGTTCACCTTTTGTATGATCAGTTTTCTGATCTATGAAAACTAATGCCAATGATGTGGGAGATTTAGTCTATTAGGATGTGACTATGAACAGCAAACTAAAGTCTTAGGAAAAAAAAATTAACTTTCCTTATTTGAACTGTCATTGATGATATATCATTCGAGATGTGACAAAATAAAAACAAATGAATCATACAACTTACTAATACCCAGTAACACAAAAACATAATTTTAGCTTCAAGATATAAACTAGTTGAATTCAGGAGTCAATCTGACCTAGACCACCATTGAAAACTGGAAGCACTGGATGGCCGTTTCGTCCTAGTATGGGACTTCTCAGCAGTGCACATCCATGATTTTGAATTTCCTAGGAGAGTTGCTGTAAAATATTATTTCTTCTAAAGTACTCATTATTATTTACAATTTTAAAAAATAATAATAATAGGTGTTGTTCATACGTGGGACGACGTAGCGAAGATGAACCACAAGCCATATCAATCGGAAAAAATTGTGACAAGAAAGGGATAGTAATTCATGAACTTGGTCATGTGATTGGATTTTGGCATGAACACACTAGACCTGATCGAGATGGTAAGTCAAGTCTCCAGATCCGGTGACCATTAACATAACCTTGAATGTTTTCCCTATACTATATTGAGTATTTATTAATTTCTAAGCATAAAACTATCACAAATATAGATCATGAGATAATGACAATAATTTTGGTCCATAATTTAATACTGATTGACTTCGTTTTCACGTTGGGTGGTATTTCTGTGGTTTCGTACTAGTTCCACTTTGTTATTTTAGACTAATTGTACATTCTAAATAAAAATAAACCCACAATAGTTCAAATGTTTAAAAATTCTTTAGTATCAAATTTTCAATTATGACCTACAATAGGAAATACCTTATTGTTTTGTTTAGTATTCACTTAACAATTTGGGGACACTAAAAGTCGCCAGTTCTCAAAAAAAGTGGTGTCAATAATTTTGGAGTAAATTCTTTTATATGAAGGGATAACAAAGAACTGTTTTACAAGAGTCAACTACTAAATGTTGAGCTTGCTCACTTACAACTGTTACCCCTCGTAGTAGCATAGGCCGCCTACCAGAATTCTCCAACCAACTCTGTTCTGGATTCTCTTTTCCAACTGTCTCTATGTCCTTTTCATTCTTTCGATACCTGCTCCCAGTTCCCAGCACACTGTGTTCTTTGGTCCGCCTTTTCTCTTTCACTTTGAGGATCCCAAGTTAGGGCTCGGCTCGAGATGCCGTCTGATTATTTCCGCAATATGTGTCCGATCCACCTCCAGAGCTTTTTCCTAATTTCTTCAGCTAGAAGCTAATCCGTTCCCTGTCACATCGTGTTACTGCTGGTGGTATCCGACGGATCTGGAGTATCTTGCTTAAACAATCGTTTATAAATACCTGTACTTTTTGATGATGGTTGCAAAACTACTCTAAATTTCGGCAACACTTCAAAATTGGTTCCAAGTAACTCTCTATTTGACATAGGTGGTAAGTTATTTCATTATCAGGCGCGCCACTTTTAGAAATGCTTGGATTAAACAAGAATAATGTGATTAATAATACAGATACTTCTTGAAGACTCTGAACAAACAATATTGTTGGGGACGTTAGATCCCCAAAACTCATATTTTGTAATTTTATCTTTTTGGAGCTTGTATGCAGATGTATGCTTGTGCATTTCTTATCACCCACGCACATAGTCGATTGACGAACTTATCGATTAAATGTTTAAAGACTTCCATGGCAATATCGATATATATATATATATATATATATATATATATATATATATATTAATACACTTGATTTGTGTGCTTGATGGACCTGATATTTTCTGGTTGCCTGTAGAATACACTTTCTACATCTTACCAAGACTTCTGGATCGAGTTAGCTGAGTCGGGAACAACGGACCAGTATAGCCTATCGAGTCTCTGAATCCTTGATTCTTTGTTCTGTTCCGAGTAAGACAAATCAGTAGTAGCATTCAAGTTAACGAAAATAACAAATATGTGATATTCCACGTCGCTTATTTGTGACCACAGACCACTCACTATTCTACCTGCTTAGGAAATAGTTTCCTCGATTTTCCATTAAAAACTATGAAATATGTTTGCCAGTGGTAAATTATTTATATCATTGTCAAATGCAGGTTTCTGGATGGTAAAACTGATGTTAAGCACAACACAATTAGGTCCTTGACTGCTTGTATCAGTCGGTTGAAAAACTTTGACCATGATAGATGAAAACGAGGACTTCTAGAGATTCAAGTTAAATGCCTGTGCTGAAAATCAATTTCTTCTTCCTTCATCCCACTCTGTAAGTAGGCTATCTCATTTGTCTGTATTTGTTTATCTGATTTAGTGTTTCTAGATTTTTTTATAATCTTACTGCTACAAACTTTATACGACCTCCAACAGCTAAGTCGGAGTTTCGAACCCAACTTCAACTATATTCGTCAAGGCAAATGAGTACTATCATTAGGTCTCACGTATAACAACGTGGCATGCAACCTAATCTTGAAACCCTTACTTGGTAAATGAGTTACAGGATCGGACTGAAATCGATAAATAATGTTTGTTTCAGGTATCAGAATAACGAATATAATCTGTTACCTAATACCTTTAGATAGTTTACTAACACAAGAATTTCCATTCTTTAAATTTATGCTTCAATAATTCTTTAAAATTATCAGAAATATTTCCTTCTACATATACTTACAGAACATGTAGATATTCTACTCGATAATGTTGTTGAAGGACAAGATTTTAATTTTAAAAAAATGGATCCAGGTGAAGTGAACTCTCTTGGTGAACCATATGACTATAGTTCTATTATGCATTACGCTAAAGGAACATTTGCTAAAGCGAATAAAGATGAAACAATTAGACCAAAAGCTTGTTGTCCACGACCACCTATTGGTCAACGTATTCAGTTAAGTCCTGGTGATATTCGACAAACGAATAAACTTTATTTATGTCCAGGTAATTATTTAAATTTATGATAACACGTTATTGTTTCTGTTAAAATGGGCATTCTGTAAAGATCGTTCAGTCTAAAACTAGTTTGCATCATGGACTAACAAAGTGCGAATGAACCACTGCAAACTGAAGATGGGTGGATAACTGTTTTTGTCCTACTATGAGACTATTTCTATTTTTATACAGATTTTTATATCAGAAATCACAGTACTATAATTATCTGACTTTGTTTTCCATTATTGTGTGTGGGATACTAAATTACTTAGCTTTATGTCACGTAAATTTGGAATTCCCCGTTTCCAAGGGATTTAAGAACAAAATAAACAACTATAAATTACTCTACAATCTTCAATGATTGATCATCTGTTACCAGTTTATGGCGAGCATTACCTCTAAGTTGTAGGATTTTTTCTGTCATTTTAGCTAATTCAACTGTTCACTTCATCAACTGTTATAACTATTGACATGAAGATTGAAAGATATTAAAAGTACATAAAAATGACGATATAACATTGGGCGAGACATCTAAAGGTCATAAAGTGCATCATGTGTGGTGTCATAAGTTCGAACCACTAAGGAGTTCCTAAACAACAATGTAACAACTGACTAATGCTTTCTGTTTTTTTCAATGATTCCTTGGTTAACGTTATTTCATAATGGAGACTATTTTAAAGCTATCCAAATCTTTAGGGAAAATTTCACTACTGCATATGTTTTGATGGTAATTAAAGTGTTCAGTATGCAAACTAAATCCAATGATAGAATATCCCGTTTGAATATTTCTCTTTATTTAAACTAGATTATCCAAGCATTCGGTATAAATATTTCCTCAAACATTTTATGTTTCATGTGGTTTTACTTGGTACTGTGTCCAAGGAGCTGTATGTTATTTCTGTCTGTATCGCGGTTTATTATTAATTTGGTACCATTCTTCTAGTGTATTCAATAACTTGTTAGTACTTTTTTCCTCTCTCTAATTCAGATATTCATGCTGAAAATGCTCATATTTTTTAATTGAATTTCTAACGTAACTCTGCATTTTTACTTCAGAATTTCCAGCTTTTCTCCTACGAAGCTTCACAAATGTTAATAAGCCATCGTTCAAATTATTTGAAACAACCTCCATTTGACGTATTATGTATGTATTGTCGAGAGCTGTATAACTACGATAGTTTGATTATCTTTCAGAGAGAAGAGATTTTCTTTAAATTAGCAATAATAATAATAATAGTTGTAGGAAAGTAAAATTCATCTAATGAAATAAGCAACAGTTTACTTATTTCCTTTGGTCTACTTACTTACGCCTGTTACTCCCAAAGGAGCATAGGCTACCAACCAGCATTCTCCAACCTATTTGTTTTCATACTTAGAGACTAGAACCAAAGTGAATTGTTACGTACTTTACAAACCGAATATCGAAAATAAACCTAGAACAAAATTATCATGTTTATTTGGATAGTTTCAAGGGATAAATTTGATTGGAAGACCATTTGAAATCAAAATTAATTGGAGACCTTTCTAAGAGCACGAATCAGTTAATATTAGTTCTCAGTTTAAAACTCGTTAACAGGGCCACATACAGACTTTACACTGGATGATATTCAGAAAGTTTGGGTCTTTTTGTGTGGATGATAAATTTAAACTAATCATATGTGATTCAGTCACTAGATAATATTTTTGAATGTTATGAGCGATGTATTTTAATTCGAACTTCGAAAACCATTCCAAGGTTACTTATTTTCGAGTACATCGTTATTGTTCGATTATATAATTTGTAGAGATATGTTCGATTTGAAGATAGTTTTCACCACGGTCCATTGAGAAGCCGCGATTAGCAGAACTCAACCATGTTATGAACGAACCAGTTTTCGACGACATTAAATGATTGCAAGTTGATTATAACTGGAAATGAAAACTACCGGATTTCATTGCATTAGTCTAAATGTGTTGCAATTGATATAATATCTGGAGACCAGAAGCCCGACTTTATGTGGTGCCGTAGATTTGTACTACCAAGGAGTCTTGAGTGAAGATAATGTCCAGCTGATATCAGTTTTTAAATAAGATTATCATCAAATAAAACTTATCCCTTCAAACCACCCAAATAAATATTTAAAATGTTTTACTCTCCGTTTATTTTCAGGGTTGCCCTTAGTGTTAACATGAATGTAATTTGACTTCAAAATCTAGGTTTTACAATCAAATAATAAACCAATATCACTCGTTAGAGTAAAATGGCTGTTACGTAACTGTTTTGTTTCGTAAGTTTGCTACAGTATGTAGGTTCGGCTAATAAAACTATAAAATCAATTCAATTTAACTAGTAAAAGGTTTCTGTTGTCTATCGGTACTCAAAATATTTAAGTTAGGTTTTATGTATTATGTTAATATTAATATTAACACGTCAAAATATTCATTCTCCTTTATTTGTTACACATTAGGGTCTATTTTATTTATTTTGGTGCCATTTTGTTCATTTGTTTAAACGAAATATTTTTCGCTACATTTTAGCATGTGGTCGTACGCTTCTAGAACCAGTAGGAAGTTTGTCTTCACCACAAATGGCATGGAAATTAGAAGATCGTTTCGGTGGTAATGCCAACTCTTCATTATTTCCCGATCCGATAGGTTTAGAGCAGTCGATTCAACTAGGAAATGCTATATCAGTTGATCATCTTTTACCTGATGATAACGAGAATATGTATCATCCTTATCGATCATTAACAAATGGTAATGCAATTGATGGTGGTGAAGATCATAGTTTAATCGGTATGGTCAATGATAATAATTATCAGTTAAAAGCAATTCCATATAATCCATTCAAAGGATCATTCAATAATGAAGAAGTTCCATTGATAGCAATGAGTCGTTTATCTAAGTTATCAAAAACAAGTTCATCATCTACTTTAGGTTTCACATCAGCTAGTCCTATACTTTGTCAATGGAGAATAAATGCTGCATCAGGTGAACGGATACGTTTAAATTTTACACACATGGATATATCTGGACCGATAACACAGGATGCTATACATACACCAAATAATTTAAATAATTTACATAAAGCATATGAATTAAATCAAAAAAGTATCAATCGTATCTCATGTATTAATGATTATGTAGAAATAAGAGATGGATATTATTCTGGTTCACCATTAATTGGTAAGTTAACTTCTTTTCTACGAATATTTAAATAAGAGACAAACAATTTATCATTCCTCCTATTAACTAATTACTCAGTAGTGACCAATATTAACTAATCTACTTATTAGTGATGATAAAGTTCCATGAATCAAGTTGCCATTCAATGATTAGGCGAAATAGCTCGAAATCTTACTGTATGTATTATAAGGTTGAAGGTATAGGTGAAAATTCTTGGATTAAACTTTTAAGTTAGTTATGATTGATCAGTATATTTTATCGGTAATCTTGAGAGAATTGAATTTGTTTTCAAGATTTGAACCAATCATGTTATGATATCGTGGGAGCTAATTTGACTATGATAATTGTCAATAATCACGTAATCTAAATCATAAATGCATTTTCATAAAACAAATTTTTTTTTCATTTTAATGTGAAACTATCTTATCAATTATGCTGATAAATTGAATTTACTATAGAAATAATTTACTTCATTTCACAGGGCTAGGAGGTTTTCATTTTGAATTGTTTCACCGTTAATCAACTCTAATATAAAACAATACTTATCATTTGATACTAACTGTGGATATTATAGTAATTTCAATGGTTGAGATCATGAGTCGATTGGAGCTAGAGCACCATGGCAAATCTGGAACCTATGACCTAACAGTTTTGCGCGCGAGCGCTTAACCACTAGACCACTGAGCCGGCATCCAACAATGTTAATGTCTAACTTCAACCAATTCAGCATATAGAATTGTTTGTTAGAAGATTCAGACTTTAACCATTGACTCTAATCAAAGTTTTTGTATTGAATTAAATAATGTAATTTCATAACTAAGTGAATTATTATCTCTGACCATTGTATTTAAATCTAGTTTTATGCATTCGTCCAATGAGAAATAAGGATGAATCTTTAAATGTAACATACACTTTAACTTAATCATTAATATTTGCCAGTTAACTACAATGTTTATGATTACTGACACCCTTTTACTAAACTTTAATAACCTGATTATATACCAAGAAATTAATTTATAAGTTAAAATCTCCTGTTCAAATATGAAGTTTTTTGATAAAAGTTAGAAAGGTGATTATACTTCATTCATAAGTCTTAAGTTCAAATAATGTTCATTTATAATATAAATCATCGGTAATATTATGAGAAATACGTATTTCATTAATGTTCAAAGCTTATTATTCACAACTTTTTCCGTATGAACTACATCAGAAATAGATTAGTTTACATGTTGTTTCCTATAGATTTAACATTAGTGTGTTATTATCAGTTTGTATACAATATTCTTATTTTGCAAATTTTTTTATTCCGATCTTTATTTAGGTCGTTACTGTGGTCAAAATTTACCTCCACAGTTAATTTCAACTGGATCACGTCTTTGGTTAGAATATAGAAGATCTGCTGGGAGTATGACTACAGGTTTTATCGCTGATTATGAAGGTGATAATTAAATGATTTAATACTGTCCTTTTCATTTACTTAAAGTATCCTAATTATTTTGAACACTGTTTTCCAACTCATGTTTACTTACGCCTGTTACTCCTCGTGAAGAAACGTAGGCCGCTTACCAGCATTCTCCATCCAACCTTGTCCTGGGCAGTCCTTTCCAGAAAAAATAATTTTCCAACTCATACTTCTTAAGTTTATACATTTGAATAATGAATTATGTTAACCTTTTGAAATCCTCTTTATTGCGTAGAATTCTGTGATGAAAAATCTGAATTTCAATTGGAAGTTGTGTCTTCTGATGTAAGATAAACATTCATGAATTTCAGCAATATTTATAACACTTACTCATAAATAAATCTTAGCTGTAGCGTTAACAGGAATTCTTCATGTAAGTATCAATATGAGGTTTCAGAAAGAAAACAGTCATTTATTTAAAACTTCATGGCTCCGATAGGAAGAGCACTAAAACTTACATAAAACCATCAATTCACTCTTTCTATTTCACTACTTCTTAAGATTTCAAACAAAATGTGTAGAAAAAGTACTCTGAAGTTTACATGTTCATAAATATTTTCCCCTTTAGCTATATGTGGTGGAGAATTACAAATGGAAGAAGGGACACTAACAAGTCCAAATTACCCTGAATTTTATCGACCAAGTAAAGAGTGTGTTTGGCAAATTATTGTTCCCGTTGGTTATTCTGTTGCATTGATATTTCATTCATTTCAGGTGAGTTAAAAGTCTATGATTAAGAAATTCTGTGTATGTTTTGTGATGTAGCACCCAGTGTGGATTTAAATAGTGTTCAGTCATTTTTTTACATTTTACAACCTTAAGCTTCAAGTTGAGTGTTTCCAGTGCATAAAAAGCTTTTTTAACAATAACAAAACAATTAAGTCTGTTTTAGTAAGGTTGTAATACAGGGATCCTTAACTGGCTTTGTATGAATGATAATCTATAAACATTGATATGATAATAAATATTTATATTTAGGTCTGCAAATATTACTTTTAGCCTAAATATTTTCTGGGGTTGATTTTTCATAGATAGATCATTAGAATTCATCACAATCAGTATTTACGGTACAATGCTAATCGTAGAACTATACAACTATAGAGACTTTTGTAGACACATTAAATTGATTATTTGTCGCTAAATAATGTTTAAAAAAATAGAAAAAAGTAATCAAAATGGTTCAATTAACCTGTTTGTCATGCAGTAAAAGTGCTCTATATCATCAAGTCAACTGATGATGAAATTTTGAGCATAGCTTATTTTTAGATCTATATTCTAGCTCGATACCTGTTGGCTTATAAGTGAACAGACTAAATAAATGTTCATTTTCAGCTGGTTTGTTTAATTCTTTTTTTTCTTGAGTTAAGCATTCATAACCTGGATTGTTGATCTTTTCATTTTCTAAAATGATAATTCACAGCTAGAAAAACATGATACCTGTGTATACGATTACCTAGAGGTACGTGATGGTTTAAAAGATACATCCCCACTGCTGAAAAAACTATGTGGATCACATCTACCCACTCCAATTAAATCGACCAATAATGTGATGTATGTAAAATTTGTATCAGATAGCTCAGTAGAAAAACAAGGATTTACGGCCACATTTCAGAAAGGTAATTTAAAATTAGTTATTTGATAATATATTTACAGCAAAATTAGTGAGAGATTTACTTTAATAATTTAAACAGCTTAACAGTATAATTGTAATGACCAATTTCTTTAAAGTTTCGACGTCCACAATATCTGCATAGCTAGGTTGTGTAAATAAAGTGTGAAAGTTAGCTTTAAAAAAGCACAAATCAGTAAACAAGTGTGATTAGTTTGCTGAGAGACCTAAGTAAAACTGAAACTGATAAGTCTTCTAAGTGAACGCTAGATTCGGTTCCTATGCACTTCTATTAACCCTCAGGCTAAATCTACACAGTAACCTGAACACGAGAGAAAAGGCATGACATATAGAAGAAACGCATTACTCCAAGGTTCGTTCGTGTTCAGAAAATCTAAGGTATTTATAACATTTTAGATGGCCTTAGGCTTCCAGAAAATTCTGAAACCCTGCTAAACATAGTAGCAGTATAATTAATCATCCAATTAGAAACGCGACCTGTGACTTTTTACTTTCTAGATGTTTCTGGCAAAACGTCTATTGAATGCTGATTGAATAAGGGGTTTCTCAGAATTCTCAGAGTACTTTATGGCATTTTTCGAGGAATTTTCTGAGTCTCCCCAACAGAAACAAATTTATTTTATTTTTTTAAAGTTTTGGAAACTACGTAAAAAATTTAATTAATGAATAAACTCTGAAAATTATTGATTTACGAAAACCTGAATATCCAAATTATGTATATTATTGGCCTTATTGGAAATAATCGATAAATCTGTAAAGAACTAAATTATTCAATAGAATATTATACTAATTATGTATTATCCATTTACTGTCAGTCATTAAACACTTTTACCTTAGTAAAGGAATTGTTCGGCACCAATGAACTAATGAAATTTTTGACTAAGAAACATTTACGTAGGGACTATTGATATTCATAAAAGGTTGTGTATTTTAAGTATTTATTCCAGTCTATAAATGACCTGTCATAAATTTTTAATACAATTTTGTTTCTACCAAAATAGAAGAAGAATTCAATTCCTTGACTATGTGTGTGATATTTAAATCATTTCGTTGTGTATTTAGTTACGTATACTGTTTAACGGTCAAGAATATTAGAGATAATCTTGATCTGTAGGATTATTCACTAGCGTTACAAAAAATTCATATCACTAACATTTTAGAGGCAATTTACCACGTCTGATTATTGAGGCGAGAATGGAATCTACACAACAGTCGACTTTAGGATTATTAATTTGAATGTTCCTGTGATATAAAATTGTTGATTCTCACCCGTCAAGTGTTCAAAGCTAAATACTGTAATCAAGAGATGATTCGTAAAAACCAATTCTTTATTAGCTAGAAGAAAAGAGTAATCAGAAAATTCTTTTGTAAATTATCTAACAAAAAGACCAACTAAGAGTTACCTATAGTTTGATGTTTATGCTCTAAATTTCGTCTAGAGAAACTAAAATAATATAAATAAAAGTGATCCAAATGACACAGCAGACAAAATGATTATTTAACTAAGATTGGCTTTCTAATTGAATTTAAAGTGTTTTGTCCAGTGTGTACTTTGTGTTCAACAAAATATTGTGCCATATTATTCAAAACAGAATATTAAGTTGGATAGGTAATAGAGCTTTGAGGGAATATACGCATTAATAACATGGAAACATGTTTCTAGACAATGAAAATTGATGTTAAAGTCATCTTAAAACAACCTTGAAATTGGATGAATTAGCACATTAAGATGGATTAAGCTCAAAAATGATTCAAGAAGGAAGGAACTTATTTTTGGGAATATGAAATAAGATATTACGTCATTGAATAATGAAAAATAAAAGTTACCAGGGTGATGAGATTTACAACTACATTCATTTGAGTATATACAATCACTTTCAACATTTTAATAGTAATGACCAGAAGGTAACGAAGCAAATTATTTGTTTGAGTCTCAATTATTTTGCACAATTTTAAAATGTCAACATTTTGGGCAATGGTAATGTTAATAACACATTAACCCTTTAATTTTAGTTTTTGTAGGATATTCTGAGAGTTGCGAACGAGCACCTTTCTTCCTATTCTCCAATTTAAAGTGCCCTGGCATGAATATATGAACTAGTAAATAGAAGTGAAGATAACAAGGGGTAGGGTTTTAACCAATTTGTCATTCTCAATAAGCAACTTGTTTAATACAATGAGACCTGTTTAGTAGATGAACACGTCCTTTTAAGTGAAGCTTTTAGTCTAGAATTTATCATCCTAGCTATTGCATCACTTTTAAAGCTCAGTGGTTAAAGGGCTAGATTTTTATCGACTTCAACAAATTTCACTTCCCTCTTTTCTGTTTTCCTATACTTATTGCTAAACTTTTGTGGGTAAACAATATCTACCAGATGCTTTCTGACTACAATTAATTCTTATTTAGTCTTCTCTTCCGTATATAGTTTCCGTACACAGTTAGATAGTGTTCTAACCAAAACATTTTCGTAGCTTATTGGACAGGAACTATTGAAATTCAAATAAAATTCACTCCATGTATCTTTTCAATAAGTAGATCTTTCTAGGTAGTCTTCTGAATGGATCTGAATGCCAATTTAAAAAAAAGAAATTCGTCATAATATTTGTGTGTAAACCTTACATTAGGGCGCACTTTATTTAAAAGATTCAGTAGATGATAAGCATATCTATGAATATCGTGAGCAAGACTTCTCTTGTCAGCATACATGACTTAGAGTTTTTTTAATCAACTATCGGATTCATTTTTGTTTGTTCCATTTTTGACATGAATATATCTGCCAGGACTGTCTCCAATGGGCAACCCATAGTGACTCTGTCAACTTGTCGATAAAATGTTTTTTTTAGACTGAAATCATGTACTTTTAGTGCATGATAGTAAAAAGTGTTTGAACTCACCCTTTAATAATGGAAGAAAGCCACTAGGAACATAATGAAATTGTTATACATCTTTAACTACCTATATGTTAATCAAACATTATATAGTAAAATCATTTTTGTTTTAAGTACAATATAGTATTCCTATACATTAAGAAAAACACAGTTTTCTCATTTGAAAAAATTAGATCTTCAAAATCGATATGAATTTTGTATCATCTCAATCCTCTGGGTTATGACGATACTCCAATTTATTATTCAACTTAGAACTTTAAAATTATTCTTTGTTACAATAAAAAGTCATAAGTCTATGTGCAACAGAACTTTAATAGTTAACAATATTAATTATTTTGTTTGATTTCTCATAGAATTTGATGAGTGCAAAACTATGAAACATGGTTGTTCACATACTTGTGTCAATACACTTGGAGGTTATCGATGTCAATGTGAGATTGGTTATGAACTACATGCAGATGGGAAACGTTGTGAAGGTAATTAGAATGACCCAATCAAATGACTAAAAATAAACTTTATTTATATAATGAACGAAATTTAATGATTTATTTGATTTCACATTATAGTTCAGTTGTTTCCTATATCTATAAAGTGAAGTAATTTATGGTAGGGTTTACTCATCATAAAAGTTGTTTGTAAAAATAGCTTATTATTAACTGTGTTCAATCGTCAAATATTTAATATCATAAATTATGTTCCCTATTTTCAGATTTAGTAATGAACTTGTTACCACAGCGAACATTGTTTGCACTTACACATTATCTTTATCACTATACTTTCTCAAACTTTTATTCCTCATCTGACTAAAGAAGACTATTTGTGATTTTATCAGTAGCATTAAAACGAATTTCAAAATGTCAGTTGATTTACTGTTGTGATATTACCAGGGTTATGAATAGTAATGACTTTTAAATGAATAGATATGATCTGACCTTGATTTTTGTTCATGATTCAAATTCATGTCTTCGCGGTAAAAACAAATTTTCGTAAAATCGTTATTAAATAGATGTGTATTACATCTCACACATTTTAAATCTCATCAGTATGTAAATTAAAATATGGAGTTTTTCCAGTTCATTTTCCCATTTTTATCATTCATAGATAGTTGTGTTCAGTGTCATTTTGTCAGCGTAAGACAAGAATTATACAGAAATATAAAGGATCATTTGATATTAACTCAACTTTAACATAGATCCATATAGAATTTATATCAGAAGGGTTTTTTGTGGATATCATAGTAATTTCAATGGTTGAGATCATGAGTCAATTGAAGCTAGACCACTATGGAAAACCCGGAACCATTGGACGGCCACTTGGTCCTAGTGTGGGACTCCTCAGCAGTGCGCATCCACGATCCCGTCTCGCGGGCAAGCGCTTAACCACTAGACCACTGAGCCGGCATCCAACGGTGTTAATGTCTAACTTCAACCAATCCACGAAATTGAGCGACGAATCCACCATTGTCATCAGTGAGTTACTATGTCACAACAGACTCGGTTGAGCTCCACTGGTTACTGTCGCATTTCGAATTAGCGTAAATTAAATTAACCGATTCCATTTCACTTTAAAGAGTATTTTGATTAAATATAATGTAAAAAAGTTCAGTATTTACCTACGAATGCTATAGTAATTGACTGGATATTTAAAGTTGTGCATAATGATGCATGGAAACACAGTTTGAAACCTAGTATTTGAGATACTCATGAAAAGAAACATATCAAAATGACTTTGTTTTTCTTTTCCATTAAAAAGGACCAGGAATTTCTTATTAAGAATATTTTATACATCTAGATGTTCAAAATCAACTACAACTGAATTCCATGTCTATCTTGATTCTGTTAAGACATTAATTTTCAGCTATGTACAACTTGAACGATGTTTTGAAAATGAGAAAAATTTGAATTATTTCCGTTTACACTTCACAAAATGTATTAGGAAGAAAGTTATAGAACTGATTTCAAAGTTCAGTCGAGATTAGGTTATTTTATTATTTCAACTACATAACATTATAGAATATTATGTTGCTATTGTTACTATATTTGTTAATCAATAACAATATTGATTATACAAGTGACATTATTTTCCATAAATTAGATGCATGTGGAGGGGTAATCAATGAGTCGAATGGTACTATTCAAACGCCTTTATTTCCTGATTTATATCCACCTAAGAAAAATTGTATCTGGAAAATTTTGGCACCACCTAAAACGACAATTTTTCTTAATTTTACACATTTTAATTTAGAAGGTCATAATGTGAGTTAACTTACAGATATTTCTTATATCCTAATGTTTTCATTTGTAAACTAAAAAATTCTTCAGTGACGTTGATTTTGAATATATAAACTGGTTAGAAATAATTTTTTTGTTGAGTGAATTGTTTCGTCGGTTAAATGGCCTATTAGAATCTTTTATACCAAAGCAGTTTGTTGATTCCTGTGAAATTCAGTACAAAATTACACATTAGATGTTAGTTCAAAACAACCGATGACACTTTGATCTAGTGCTTGTTATTGAAACCATACAGGTGATGGATTTAGGTCAGAAATGTGTTAATTGAGTGCTCAATAAAATATTCTATGAAATGAATGATATTCGAACATATAAATTACTGTATTTTATGTAAGACTTACAAAGCTGAGATCCCCATCATAAATAAATAATAAAATTATCCAATCGAAAATGTTATAAGACTTTTACTAGGCATATTCGGGAAATCATTGTGTTCTATTTTCATTTGGTTCTGTCTCTATTCGTTGAAGGTTTCCAAGACATTGTATAATACCATATTTCTTCGTTCTTTAACATATCATATAGAATGATTTGAATTAGACAAATCAACACAGTTATTTGATCCACCACGTGGCTACGAGTTTATTGTTTTTTTACTAGTTTTATGCACACAACTTTATTTCCATTAGTTGTTCTAAAGAGAAGTGATTACTTTAAAGATTGTGTAATAAAGCACCATTTAGAAAATCATTATGTAACCTTTTACGAATTGAATTTGGAATTCGAAAATTTTTGTAAAGTAATTTGATATTAAATTTCTGTACTCCACTCCATCATTTCTACCATTATTAAAGTCCCTTGATCAGACATCAAGATGGGTCAAGAATGAGCAATGCTAATATAATTTTGCATTTGAATACAAAAATCGACAACGAAGCCTTTGCAACTCAATACTAATAATAAGGAAACGGTTTATAGAATTGAGTGATCACTAAGACAGATCAACAAATAGTTCTGGGTTTAGGAATCACTTAATTATTTGCGATGATTACAGAAAAGTAAAGTTTGAAGTCTAGGTTTTAAGAATCAGTTAGTTACTCAAAATGATTACATGGGAATAAAGATGAATAAAGTAAGAAATTAGAGCAGGACTTGGAATTCATAATTTGTTAATAGCAATACAGATGAAAAAATGAAAGGATAAGTTCAACATTAGTTAGATGACCAAAGAAGAGAAATGTTTTCTCCATATAAAGAATAGGTTTATTAAGGTGAATTCCTATGGCTTCTACTTTGTATGGGAGGCGACATCTAGATAAAAAAGAACAAGCCGAATGGAATTAGATACGTAACTTTGAATGTAATATATGTGTCGGTCTTACAGCTTGTGTTGACTAAGTGTGCTAGGATAAAACTTTCTACCGTTTTTCTTTGTTTATAAATATTCCGAATTAAATACACAGACTGTATTAAATGTAAATCCGTCGTTTTTATTTGACTATCGTTTCGGTCAAAACTAACAATGACAGCTTGATTTAAAATTGTTCTTTTCCTTGCCTAGCGAGCATGTCGATATGATTTTATCAATGTTTACAATGGTTCAACAGATAATCAACAGAAAATTGGCACATTTTGTGGTGATCAAATACCAGAGCCTATTACATCCCATACAAATGAACTCAGTATTGAATTTTATTCAGATACATCTGTACAGCGTACTGGTTTCAGAGCTGTATTCTTTACTGATCGAGATGAATGTGCTGATAATAACGGAGGTTGTCAACATTTATGTCGAAATACAATAGGATCATACCATTGCGCTTGTCGACCGGGTTTTAATCTTTACGGCAGATATGAATGCAAAGAGAGTAGGTTTCATTCAGTGTTTTAAATTATAGCGAGATGGATGTATTCAGTATCATTAAGTTCTCTGCGCTGGATAGTTTAATTGAGAAGCATAGACCATCGGTATCTATCTAAACTGGAAATAAGCATTTTAGATTCACTCAACGAGTGGCAAGTAAGCCACTTGACAGTAAGTATACATATATCCAATCGATAAGGATACAGAATTCGAAAGAAATTCAAATGTCTAGAGTCTTTATGAGCAAACAAACAATAATACGGTAATCACGTTGAACTGATATTTTATTTAAGGGATAATTCTAAAATGTTGATTTCTAGTCCAGGTAGGTATTGTTCACTTAGTTCAGATTGGCAATAAAAGTCTTGCCATAAAACTGCTCACCATAGAAAACTCAACATTACTTTATGCTGTCTTTATAAATTTATATTTTTAGTTTGTGGATGTTACTATATTAATTGTAAGTAGTTTACTACGGTAAATGATTATTTTTCACTTTAAAAACATTTTTGGTAGCGGTTGTAATTTCTTTTAGTTCAGTGAGAAATATGTGCCTCCTCGAAGTAAATTTTGAACGACAATATCTATCCTAGGTGGTCCACCTTAGAAAAAGTGAAAGCTGAATTTTCAATATCAGCACCACACCTTTGGATGATAATGAACTTTTTCACTGCATACTTTAGATGTTGGGTTGTTTCAAATAATCAGCAGCAGTTTATCAATGTATACTTCGTGTTAGATGATATTCGTCAACAGCAAGTACTTGTGAGATTTGAACCAACTAGTATCAAATTCAGAGGCGTTAAAACGGGGCCATCAGATTCGAAATATCCGTACATCATGAGTGGAGTATTCACCACAATCAATCACTGATCAGTGCGCAATGTGAAACTTCTCTAGTCCTTAGCCTTGATTGAATTCTATTGGTTATGTTGCAATGTAGCCACTATATTAGGTAACTGAAGGTTGAGTTCGCTATGTTTCGATGCTAGGTGGTTAGATCTAATCGTCTATAGACCTTGAATCCAGGTATCGTGCATTTCGGTATTCGTCAACTAACCTTTTCTACAAGGATACCCAGTGATCAATCAGTGTATATTTCTTTGTTAGCAAACATGTTCTAAGATTTCTGTAAACAGGATTAATTGATTCTCATTCAGCGAGTAGTGAGTCGCTTACATTACAAAGCTTAAATATGACATTTTAGAAATCGAAAAATCGTCAGTGGAATATGGCTTGAGCCATACTGAATTAAGAGTTATAGAAAGAGAAGTTACTCTTTAACGTGCTGCTTAGTTAAATTCAAAGAATTTACTTCAAAGGCTGCCTCAAACCAAAAAAGTAAAAATCTATAAATTATTCCAAATATCATTCATGTAACCCTCCTATGTTTTATGAATATAACTTAATGTTTGAAAATGAATATATTATATTTCCACCTTTCTAGTCAAGTTTCTGCTTCATTTAACACAGACAAATTACTGATTTCAATGCCCTTTTAAGATATTTTTAATGTGTTCCTGGGTTTCATCAGGTTTAAAGTAGTGTATTATCATTTTATAACTGAATTCCTAGATGAACGATACGGTCTGATAAAATATGTCTTTCATTTAGACTTTATTGTTTGTAAAGAACTTAATTAATAAGCTATATTAACAAGTAATATAATTACTATTTATGGACTTGAGATATTATTAAGAACTAAATAATTATTTATATAAGATTGAACATAAAACAGATTAGTGATTATTTATTTTCCAAACACTAAACGTTTTAATCTAAGATCGTTCAATATTCAGCAAACAAAACCTTCATGTGTGACGCTTTCACCCTCTCCCCCTAATCAATAAATCACTAATTTTTTGATTGACCAGGAAGTGAATCTCTAATTCCTACTTACTCCATTAATAAATTTGAACCAGAGAGTTTTGTTTCATGTTGATTTACTTTATCTCAGTGGAACAATGAGTCTTTTCTATATTTAACGATGCGAAGTATGGTATAATTTTGATAAAATCCTAATAAAGACAACCACATCTTCAAATACTTTACATCGTAATAATGGTTGATATTGATGCATCAACATGAAACAATATGGTTTTTCTTGAGGTCAATATCGCTAACTCTTGTATACAGTGTACAGTTTTGAACAATTTTTTTATTGTACATGGTGTCTGGTATAAATTTGATTTTCTCTAAAATGTGAGCAAGTCAGTATCTCAGTAAAAGTGAAGTTTTTTTTGGAAAAAAATATCAGAATATTTTAATCAAAATGATAATAAGAGAATTGGAAAGAGATGTCGTTCTCAGCGTCCACTATTGTCTCAATCTGGATCCACATATACTATATGTAGCTTTAAATGCCTCCCTAGTCTTGTCGACCAATTGGGCATTTTGACCACAACCAATACCATTGGTATCTTTTTCAACCATACCACAAACATATTAACTCACATGATTGCGCCCAAGAGAGTTAGACGCTTGAACATTAGAATTAGTGGTCGCAAAATCTCCAATTATGTCTTCTTTATTGTACAATCGATTACCGAATCTCAATTCTGTATGTATGGCCTTCTTTAAGCTATCTTTTCTCTATTTTGAAAGTTTGTTAAATGATATTGTAGATCATACTACTCTACAGTCATTAAGTTACAAATTCATCAGTTTAACACTCTACGTGTATTTCATTTTTTACCAAAACCTTTATAAAAGGCCACACATATTTCACACAATTGATAGTCATTATTAATATACTGTATGTGTGATTATTATTTTAAACAAGAATACAACTATCATTACGATTACTATTACTATTATTATCATTATTATTATTATTATTATTATTATTATTATTATTATTATTATTATTATTATTATTAGATTGAAACATTGTACAGTTCAATAGCTTTTTGTTTAAATTATCTCATCGTTGGCGACAAAATTAAGTTAAACAATAGGCAAATATTAATTAGTTTATTTGTATTTTTGATACTTATCTAATTTTTTTTTCAACTCATATCAACAATATGAATAAGATTATCATTTTACGATTAGTATATAATTGTTTTTTATCTTTGTAATATGAAAAATGATCGGTTTAATATTAAGTTGTCAAGTAATTGGGGTTCATTAATTGCGTGATATGATTCCCGATAATATATTTATATAATGTTACATTGAATTAAGAGTGTGTGTATATGTGTGTTTCATGATTTGGTCACTATCAGTGATAATAAACTGTTCATTATCACTACCACTATTAAATGATCATATGTTTGTACTACTGAATTGCTGTCTCTAAGTAATCTAAGTGAAATTTAGCGTTTAAAGAGTTAAAGTATTTTTTAATGAATGATTCCCATTTTCTAATCGTTTTTACTTATTTTCATCTGCGTTCCCAAATTATTTGATGAGTAATTTAAGACTAGTTGTCGTCACTAATTAACACCAATCGCAGAATTCTTGAAATACAAGGAACAATAGACAGTAATTTTATCTTAGTTTAAGATACTTCACCATTTTGTACCAACAACTCCATACAAGGTTTAGTTTAAAACTCGAAGATCTCAAAGTAAACATCATACTGATGAGCCACTAGACTGAAATCTAATGGTCTAGTTTCTTTCCTTAACAGTGCTCATCCACTCATCCGTTAAGTGTTGAATTCAGGACAATCAGATTTCTCAACGGACACCTAACCATTAGAGCCAGTGATTCATAACCCAATGGTGAAATCCTAAGTTCAATCAACTACCAATTTATTATGAAAATCACTTAATGTCACTGATAACATGTGTTTCACTCCTAATATGTTTGAATTCCATCAGTCATAGCTACTCAGTAATCATCTAATAGTTTATATTAAATCCTCTATATTAACTAATTAACTAGATACTATGATTAAAATTAAATACCATAAGTGAATAATTTCTTGAATCTACTCATATCAATAATGATGATTAGTCTGATAGAATAAGTGCATTTTTCACTTTTTTTTGAGAATTTGTTTTAATTGATATCGTATAATTCACTGAGCTTGATAGATACAGGTGCCGACTAGGTAACAGAGTTCTACTAATAGTTGTTTTTCTAAAATTATTTACCATCAAAAAAGGTATTTATCGAAAGAATATACTTAATTAACATTTCAGCAGATGTTGGTAATAAGTTTGTAGCATTATTCCGACTATCTAATGTTGAGAATCATATTTATCGAATTTTTATTAAATCAGCTACTAAGCATTGGTCTTTTTATCCGTTTCTGGTGAATATGGATATCATATCACAAAACTTGGTGATAAATTATCGAAATCATCATTCAATTTGCAAATATTTTAAAAATATCCTCGCTTCTTCAACATATGCCGATTTGAAGAATCAAATCACTAAACATCTGGAATAAGCGGTAACTAAGTTTTGGTTATAATGTAAAAGTCTTGAATAATTGTAACTTAATAAATAAGACAAAATACAATAACTGCGAACAACAGTGTGATGTAAAGCCAGTCAGTCAGCTACAACGTAGGACCAAGCACATATGTACATCGGTTCAAGTTGCCATACCTCATAACCACAACAAGATGAACACTGAATTCATAGTAGTTAATTCAATGGTAGTAATATATAAAAGAAAGATTGCATATAAGGTTAAAGTACAGGAAGGAAGAATTAGTTCGTAGAAAGAAAGCTATGAAGCAATTTTAATCTCATAGTTTAAGGGAAGACAGAGAGTGTATACACCTACGCCATTGTGATCGATTCTGAGCCATGTCACCCACAGTCTCCAACCATTGGTTACGATAATCATGCGGACCCCAACCAAGTAGTCTTCATCTACTAACATGGCTCAGACCAGAAGTTAGTGACTTCAAGCACTGATGCCACGTTATGGTTTGGCCGCCCCTAACTTTCTTCCAACCATCCCCTACACTAGTCAGCATTGCGCGTCGTGGTAACCGGTGTTCAGGCATACGCAACACGTGGTCCAACCATCTCAGTCGATGAAGATTCACAACCCCACCATCTGGTTTACCATCATTCTCTAATACCTTGCGTCTAACCTCACTATTACTTACCCGATGATCCCAGCAGATGCCAGCAATATTTCTAAGGCATCTGTGGTCAAATACTAGTAGTTTACGAGTATCTTTTACTCTTAATGTGATGTAAAATTAACATATAATTTAAAGGGAACACTTAATGACCAAAAGCAACTTACTTCTTTATGGTAATATTACTCTTTTAATATGTAGCTATAAAGATACCAATACGTCAACTTTAATGAACTTAATAACAATTGCATTGTTGACAATTATTCTAAAGGGAACTAAACCCATACACAAGGTAATTATAGTTGTATTTCTATTTATATCTAAGGTGATACGTAGCATCCGACATCTTTTGCAATAAGTGACACAAATCGCTTAGTAGCTTAGTGGAACTGGATTTTTACCCTAGTGTCAACATCCAATTGATAAGTCACAAGCAGAATGAGATGATCATCCTGAATTCCCCCTCTGTCCACAAACAATAGAGACTATTATTATTTGAATAATTTGTCAGAGTATAGTGTGCATTCAAAGTAGTATAATTAAATAAAGTATTTAATTATCTCGTTTGCATTTTTCTGAAATCTGTTTAAGATTATCTTATATATCATAAAAACTGCATAGATTTTGATGAGAAATAAATGTTTTTTCCTACTGTCACTGTAATTACTTATCAATAAATGCTGAGCTTTGCTTTTATGTGAAATATATCTCTAATTGTCTTTTTTTTATTCAATAAAAGAGATCACCGGATCTCCTCTGATCATTAATGATCAGTTCACCCCTGACTATACTATCGTTATACATGAACTTCGAATTTTAATTATTATTATTCATTTGAACTGGTCAATGAAATAGTTTAAATCAATACAGACAGCTTCTTATTCATCCCCCCCACTCAAACTTCATCTAAATGAAAAACCTTGTTTAAGAGATTTAATGAATTCAAGTAAACAGCCAGTGTGTATAAGTGTGTTTGTAATAACCTTGAAAATGGGATAAGAAGTTTGTATCTCAAAAAGTGACAAACTAACGGGTAAAATGCGTTTAGCTGAAACAATGTTGGGAAATTAATTTGTAAATACTGCGTAATATAAACGTTTCTTTGTATATTTAGCCACATCATATTCTTTTACTGAATAATGCTTTAAAAAACTTTATTTAAAGTTGTAAGTGAAAATTAACAGAAAAATTCTCTTGTCATAGTTTTTACCTTATTTAGTATGATGATACGTACCTGGATGGATCATTGTTTTTGTTTAACTAGACATTAAAACTGGATGTCAGCAAGATATATCTTCACCCGATGGGGAGATTATCACTCCAAATTGGCCAAATGAATATCCCGTGAAGCAAAATTGTCATTGGAAAATCACTGTAACACCTGGTCATCGAGTGAAAGTTGTAAGTGGTCATTTAGCATAATTAATCTCATTTTACCATAGAACTGTGTATGATATTCATTATAAGGTTTTGATGTATAAATTATTAGATAGGGTACGTTTTCCATATATTGTTGACAGGAATTTATATGTATTTTAGTCGACATATTGTTTGCTTTTAAGGTTTAGTCGTTGAACGTTTCAACGTCAGTCTAGACATTGTCTTCATAGAATACACCTAATTATGGTCATTCGAATTGATGAATGCTTAAATAAACATGAAGACACGCTCGTTAATTATTTAGTAATAACGATAAAATTAATAAGTTAACAATGAATCATAATGTGAATGCAGTAAGAGGATCAAAATGTAGTACGGAATGCATCGACGAAAAACTCGCGTTCCTCAGGAAAACTCTAGCGGAAAACGACTATCCAAGTTGCTTCATAGAAAAGAACATTAAAAAAAGATGTTGGGACAAGGAATCCGGTTCTTTGTCTAGAATTAATACCTTTATATGAATCTGGAATTTAAAGGTGACCGAACATCTGATGTAACTAAAAATAGGGTAACGGCAGTGACAAAAATAACGATCTATGCGGCAAAACTGCAAATAAAGTTCACTAATGGAAACTTGTTTTCTGTATCTGTAAAGGACAAGCTCCCTCGTCTGGTCGCCTCCATGTACATTTGCCAGTTCACCTGCTCTTGTGGAGCTGGGTACATAGGCCACAGTCAATGCTTGTCTTCAACTCGGATAATAGAACATTTCCCAGTGTGGTTCTATAAGAGTGAGAGGAAAGCACTTAGATATTCCATCCTTGAGCATCTAATTGACTCTGATCATTCTACCTATCCATTGATTGATTTTATGGTTATGTATTCAATTAGTACCAATTTACCCAGACTTATTCGCATCCAACTCCTTAAAATAACAGAGGCTTATACCATCCATGAGCTCAAGATAGAATAGTGCGTACCAAAAAAGTACGTCCTATCGTTATCGTTCCTTTGGTCTTAATCTATTATTATTACATTATTATTTTTTCCATTTTGTAATCCCCCCTTTTCCTTTACTTATGTCTCATATCCTCATGATCTTATTCATGACATTACCTCATCTAATTTTGCACCTCTATTACATTTAATCACCTTTAGTTACCTTCAGTCATTGCAACAAAATCATTTTGATCCTTTTATTGTACTGTGAAATTCGACTATCTGATTTAGTATTTAGCATAATGAGTAAAAAGGCCTTGATACATAAAAAAAATCCATTGATATCAAACGAGAAACACTGTTGTATTATGTAAGAAGTAAACATATTTTTCAAGTATATGACTGAAAGCATAACTATCAATAAACATTATCGTCAGTAATAAGATAAAATAATCGAACTGACTTGAAAAGTTGATTTAAGCAGTTTATCAACCATAGTTTATGGCAAAGAGTTATTGATTCTTAGTAGATTTACTTATTTACTTTTAACTATAATTGTATTGTAGATATTTGCCGATTTTGAACTTGAGTCACATCAACAATGTACATATGATCAAGTTATAGCTTATGATGGACCAACAAATAGTTCCGCTTTTCTTGGTCAATACTGTGGTAGTAGAAAACCTGGCCCAATTATTTCTTCACAGAATCAGTTGTTGCTTACATTTAATTCTGATTCATCTGTACAACGTAAAGGATTTCGAGCTCAACATACTACAAGTCAGTTGTGATATTCTATTAAGAAATACAATAGTGATTATTAGAGTTAGAAATATGAACCACTGAACGCCAACTTAGTGGTCTGAAGGTTAAGTACTGTCCTTCAAGCCTTAATGTTATATGTTTGATCCCTGATGGGGCTATATTTGCCTACAGCTGAGGATTCCCATTCCAGGACATAATATAATCTACACCTTGTTGTTTGGTGTAATTAAACTTAGAGTTAACTTTATTTACAAATATAAAACTAGAATATTTAACATATCCAGTCATTTTCAAATTATTCTTCATTGTGCGATTAATAAGAACTAAAAATTAGCTCACATCTTTCCTATCCTGTGCTTGCTTCGACAACATACATGTAATAGCTATGTTATAACTATATATACCATTCACAATTTCAAGATTTAATCGACAGGATAATCTTTGTAGAGTTGTAAGACTTGGGAACAAAATGAGCCTCAATCGGTCGTAACGTGACATGTCGTAGTTTTATTTATGTTTCTAGGTTGATATTCGTTAATCAGTGGTAGTTTATCAGTAAAAACTCAGATAAATGTTATACAATGATTTATCATATCTGAAGACATTTATCTTCAAATAACTTTATTGTGATATGACTAAAGGTAGCTAGACATAGCTCATATCGTTGCCAAACAATAAGTACGAATATGGTCGGAGTGATGCAAATAAAGAAAAATACTGACAGATTGCTACTTGTGGATCACAGAAAACGTTACTAATATGAGTACTGGTGATTATTTCTATAGATTTTTGTGGTGCAGGTATCTGATTATATTTCGAATCAACCTGGATTAGTTTTGCAGATACCATTGAATAGTGACATTGACTCTTGGTATGAAAACAAGTTTACCAAGATTGTATGGTCAAGAGATGCTAAAAGCATATAACCCTAAATACGAACCGATTGCTTCGATCGTATCATGATGAAATTTCTATTTTGTTGTCTTTGATCGTCACCTGATGTTTATCTACTTTCGATTCACAGGTAATGATCCCTCCGACACTGTGTTATCAACCTCACATGTCAATATATTTTAGGCGCATATGTTCGGTTAGTACACCGTGACTACTTTAAGTTAGCAGTCATCAAGATAACTGAGTCTGAAAATAGTTGAGATACTAAAACAGTGAAGATTTGTGCCTTAGGTGGATGCTTTTGCTTGTGACGTGTTGTATGATGTGCGCGGTTTAACTGCAAGTCTTTTATTGTCTGTTTAAGTAAACAAATCATCTCTGTATGAATCAAGTACTGATAATACAGTCCAGAAGGGTAATAAAAGCATCACAACAAAATCACCCAACTCAGAAAACACATCATTACCCAAATTTCAAGAAATTAAAAGAAACCAACTTATCTAGGATTTATGCTGTCTTAACACCTTAACAAATAATGGTATGAGATTTTGGAGAGACTCTAATTTATGGACGAGCCAATCAGGAGCGTTTGAGCAACTTCAAGGTCACAGAGCCAAGTTCAACACCTGATGCTCACATACGATCGGTTTACAGCGGATTTTAGAGAAGAGGTGATTATTGAGCGGCTACAAGAGATGAGACTACTAAGAAGTTCTTGTACCTATGACTGCGGTTATCAAATGACTGCAGTAAAGTGTGCAGACTACCGTGATGAGATTGTATTTCGTTGTTCTTTATGTTGGAGGAAAAAGTCTGCTCGAACGGGGACTTTCTTCGCTCGATCGCGACTGAAACTGAGGCAAATCATGATAATAGTTGCAAATTGGATAATAAAGACACCAGTAACACTGGCTGCGGCGTTTGCAGATGTTACTGAAACTTCAGCAGTTTAGTGGTATGAGTGTTGTCGTGACATATGTGCAATCAAAATGACACGACTACACCAATCATTCAGAGGAGTAAAAAGTATTGTGGAGATAGATGAAACAGTAGTGAGAAAGCGAAAATACAACAGGGGACGTAGTATCAAGGAAGATTGGGTGAGTAGCACTTCCGTAAATATACTTGACAGGTACTTGAAATTTATGATCGATCAACGCAAAAGGGACATTTTCAGAGGGTCAGAAATCCGCAAGCAAGCACAATAATACCAATTATACGAGGATACGTGCAGTCGGGCACTACGGTATATACGGATGATTGGAGAGCTTATAGATGCCTTCATAGACTTGGCTACGTCCATCATGTCGTAGTGCATAAACGTCATTTTGTCGACCCTACTACTGGCGTTCATACTAACAACATTGAAGCCATATGGTCAAGATTGAAGGAATTTTTAAGACCGTACCATGGCTCTAGAAGACGACTATTATGGAGCCATATGGACGAATTCCTATATCGTATGCATTATGATTTCAGAACATCTGAACCTTTAGGAAGCCTTAACAAGTTTTTAAATCATGTAAAAGAAGAATATTCACTGTAATTCATTAGTTTCTTATAATATATTTTTACTATATACTGTCTTCTGATTGGCTAATAATTGTCAGGGTCATTTAAGATTCGTTCAAGGTTCGTCCATACATTAGTCTCGCAGAGATTTTTAGATTAGGAATAAGATTTTAGAAATGCAAGTTTTTTTGTTTGGTGAGTATTTATATATCAGAAGTATGTATTGATTTTCTTAATAACTTTCTCCTAAAGTTTGTGGTGGTCATTTAACTGCTGACAGTGTTCCGCAAACAATTTATTCACATGCTAAGTTTGGTGATCTCGATTACGAATCAAATCAACAGTGTTACTGGACAATTACACCAAAATTAGATAATCATACTGTTCTACTGAGATTTCTTTATTTTGAAGTAGAAGAAGAAACACTATGCACGTAAGTTTATTAATCCTGAACAAAAATTATCTATTCTAGTGATTATTTACAATGGGGATAGTCCGGGAATGATGTCTCTGACTGTAGTAGGCAAACAGCCCGGCTTCTCCCAAATGCCCTGAACAGATCGAGTAAAAGCGATGACTTCTGCTATAACAGAATGAATATCATAAAATTTGGTACTGATTTCCCAAATTATTATTGATTTTAATTTTGTTGAATAACTAATTATTAACTAGAATACTATGTTTATGCATTCCATTTATCATAAGCTTTCAGTTAATCCATGAACTACTATCATACGACTTACTGTTCCCAATTTCTCAGTCTATTATTTACAGTCTCTCCAGTTCACAGTCACTTTGGTTTGTTTATATACAGTTATTATCTTCTATTTTATGATGTGATGCTGTCCAGTATGTCTGCATATCAACCACATCTGCTTGAAATAAAGATATAGTAGAAGCTGGTTGTACATGTATTCCACATTTGTAGAGGAATGAGTGGAGTATGAACTTGTTTTTGCCATCCGCTACAAGAAAAGTACATCTTCTGAAGGTACTTCACTGCCTTTCGAAAAAGCCTTCAAATTAAAGATGCAATCACATTCCCAAGACGGTGTCACAATCCTCTCATAAGTTGTGTCACATACCTCAGCGGAAAGATATTCTTCTGTTTTATGTTCACATAAAAGGTGATCTCTTCCTCTTGAAAGTAATAAACAAGTTGCTATTTTCAGAAATGACAATAAAGTATATTCAGATGTTTTTGGAGATCTAGCAGCGATGTTGCCTTAATGTACTTCGAACCTAAATAATTCAGAAAGCTAGATCAGTCAGTCAGTAACAAAGTAGAACTTCGTACGTACGTACATCATTTCGAGTTGCCATACCAAATTAGCACAGAGCTGCAGTTTTCGATTCAAATCCCGTAGTATGAGTATAAGCAGTAATCTGAAAGATTAGGGTTTGAAGATGTTATTCAAGGAGTATAATCCAGTCAAATAAATTTGGGAAGAGAAAAAAAGAGACAAGGAGAATCCAGCATATTAGAATTTGGGAGGACACAAAGAGTGGATGCACTGCGCCATTCCAAACGATTTTGAGCCGTGTCATTCAAGGTCTCTAACCATCGGTTGCTATCATCTCGCGGTCCCCAACCATGTAGTCTACATCTACCAACATGGCTCAGCCCACTTGTCAGTGACTTCATGGATTTTTGCCATGTTTTGGTCTGGCCGCCCCTAGCTTTCTTCCAACCCACTCCTACACCAATGAACATCGCACGTCGAGGCAGTCGGTGGTTGGGCATACGTAACACATGTCCCAGCCATCTCAACTGATGAAGTTTCAATACTTCATCAATGGATTTGCCATCCTTACCTAGTGCTCGTTTTCTAACAACTGTGTTACTTACTCGGTGGTTCCAGGATATACGAGCAATGTTTCGAAGACACCTATGATCAGTATTAGTAACCTACGAATATCCTCTACTCTTACCGGCCATGTTTCACTCCCATTGAGTAGGACAGAACGAACTGTTGCACAGTAAACACGTCCTTTGGTTGATAGACGAATATCTCGCCCACGCCATAAATGACGCAAGTTGGCAAAAGCTAGTCGAGCCTTCTGTATCCGTTCTGAGATTTCGTCACACACCAGACCGCAAGGGCTGATGAGACTTCCAAGATAAGTGAAGCGGTCGACACACTCAACTACTTCACTCCCTATCATTAGTTCGGGTGTCAATGCAACCCAATCCTGAAGCAACATTTTACATTTTGAGGGGGAGAATCGCATGCCGAACATGCTTGCATTGTTGCTTATAGTGGTCAGAAGACTGCATTTTGTCAGCGTCTTCACCAAACAGAACTATGTTATCGGCATATTCTAAGTCAACAAGTGAATCTCCCTGTAGAAGTTCAACTCCTGGAAATTTAGATGAAAAAAGTATTATCTCTAAAAGCATGTCAACGAAATAGTTAAACAAGAATGGAGAGAGTGGACAGTCCTGACGAACACCACTTGAGGTAATGAATTCTGATGGCAGTTCGCTATAAGCTCTCACTCGACCAGTAGTGTTCGAGTAGAGAGCCTTCACAAGGTTAATGTACATCTTTGGTACTCCTTTCAGTGACAAACACTAAAACAGAACCTCACGATCGACAGAGTCAAATGCCGCCTTAAGGTCGAGAAATACGAGTGTGGGGCGTCTGAATGTATGTCTATGTTCTAGGACCTTATGTAGTGTGAATATCTGGTCTATACAACCACATCCAGGTTGAAAACCAGCCTGATTTTCTCTAGTCTGCTCTTCACGAGCTTTAGTTAGGCGTCGGAGTATTATTGAAGCTAATATTTTAGACACTATCTTAGTCAAGCTGATTCCTCTGTGATTGTCACAAGAAGACTTATGTCCTTTTTTATAGACTGGCACAATCAGTGATTGAGACCAGTCAGATGGGATTACGTTCAGTTCCCAAATTCTACCTAAGACCTAAGTCAATCTCGCTGCTAATACTGGACCTCCATCCTTAAAAATCTCAGGGGTAAACCTGTCAGGGCCTGTTGCTAGATAGAAAGCAGTGATTTCCGTTTATTCATCAATATTTATTGAAATTAGGAAGATCTATAAATGACACTTAATCCGTCGTCACAGAAGACATATATATCCTGATTAGACTGTCCATAACAAAAGGTGAGGTCTCTCGAAATTTTCAAATATTTTCTATATTCGGCTTCTGTTAATAGCATCGATCAGATCTTACCTATTTCTCCGTAAAATTACCACTGATTTGATATAGATTCGAGAGTATTTCAACCCATTCAAATAATCAACCTCAAGCAGAAAGACTATTAACTATCTATGAAAATATTTGTAGTGTTTATTTTTTTGTCTCACCGATTGCCCAGTATTTTAGTAAGGTATACAATACATTTTATTTTAGAATTTCGGTATGTCTGTACCCCAATCTAGGTTTGAATTATCTGTGGGGGGATCAAATGCATTTCCAAACTACCATCTGAATCACATTGCCCCATATGATGAATTAAGTAGTTCATTATATACATATATACTTATCATTAGGTATAAACGAACATTTTACTCTTAAGCAACATGAGTGAAGGTATAGAAATAACTTGTCTGTAAATTAGTTGAAAGCTGAAATTCTCATTCCAGAAATTCTTAAAATTATCTTTAACATTTATTATTCATTCTTTTTTCTTTGTTTCTTTGTAATCGTTATGAAATTACATCATGCTTGTTAACATCCTCGTATTATTCAGGTACGACTATCTTCGAGTTTTCGATGGAGGTGATCCTAAAGGAAAACTTCTGGGTGGTTTTTGTGGGAGAACTGTAAGTGAATGGGCATTTTTTGAAAAAATGTTTTTTTTAATAGTTACTAGCCATATCTTTGTCTTTTGTTATGCATCCACTTTTTTCCCGGATATGATTAAAACTACTGTGGTTTTTTCATTTTAGCTCTAACAATAAATTTTGAGGGTATAACTATCTTTTTTTAATTGTAGTCTTTGACTTGAGTGTTGTCTAGGTGAGTGCTTCTTCTACCCAAATATAAAGTATTTTGAGTAACAAATTATCTATGACTGTAACTGCATTCGAACTTCATTTTAAATGGGTGACAGTGTGGTTACTAGAACTCATTCTTCATAAAAAGACAGTCACTGTACAAATTATTGGCTCTTAAATCTGTCCTGAAACAATAAATAACTGACTATACTGTTTTTAAAATTATTAATATTATTGGGTGATAGGTTTGAGGAGTGCTAAAAGGGAAGGGACGGAAATTTGTTCATCAGTGCGGAGGCGAGTGTGAATAAAAATTTGAACAATAGTTGTTTTCATGTTGAAAATAGTGAATTTCACGTAGATTTTTTCGGATGCTAGGAAGAAATACTCGCAAAGTGTATCACTGATAAAGTTAGAAGATCATACAGAAAGGGGTAAGAAGATTATATCCTTTAAATTGATATTTTATTTGTTCATGAATTCGATTTCCAACTGAACTGAATACTCCATCTTTATATTATTACCTTAGAACACTCTTGTTTATAGCTCTGCTCTCTTCCAGTTTTTCTCTTCGGTGAAACATTTTCTTCACTGACAATAATTGTTCTTCCAAACAGCAATAATCCCCAATAAATTTGCAAAATAAACTTTAGCTACTCACAAGTAGTACTAAATCATTTCAGTTACATTTATAGACACCTGATACAACTAGTGAATTTCACTCAAATATAACAACAAAAATAAACGAAATACGATGTCATAAATCTTTATTTAAATAACCTAAAATAAAGCGATATAAAAACTTAAATCCTTTTTTATAGTTTTTTCTTCAGTTTACTACTTATGGTAATTTCAGTGTGAATTGATGCTTTTATGTATTTAGTGTTTTTAATATAATTCTGTGATTCGGATGGAAGTCGTGATAAAACCCAATGAGATAACAAGTAAATTTGATTCTAGCATGATAAGAAATTGAAATTAGAGTTAGGAGGAATTTCTTCCATTTCACTTGAAGTTTGCTTTCCATTCACAAGATTAATAATTCTAAAAATATTTATCTGTTTAAATCCTTGAATGACAAGAGCATTATATTGTACACATGTTCCCATCCGAACTAAATTAATACTTGTCACAGCACATGTAGTAATTATGACAATATATCATTGGTGAGTTTTCTTGTCATTAGATTTAGAAGGGATTTCTTCGCCCTCACATTTTTTTAACAAAAAATACGATCGATAAAAAGTTATTCTTGTTCATTAAAACGTTTCTTTTTTCCAGATGATTCTACGTGAACTGATATCTGATGGATAATAAATATTTGCTTTTCATGAGCTAACTTTAAGATTGGTTCTTGAATTTTTAGTAAGAAACTATGGCGAGTTTGAATCATGTAGGATGTAAGGCAGTTTCTGATCGATGCCATCGTATGATCATTGCGTTGTATTATAAATTGATTACACTCAGAAAAATTGACTTTTGGACACCGACTTAGTAGTATGAAGGCATGACGCGCACCATGGGATTTGAAGGTACCACGCTCAATCCCTGGTGGTGTATTAAGCGAATATTATTTAGAAATTCTGAAATATAACGAATCATCTGTTCAAAGCTCAATCACCTTCAGTAATTCTCCAATTAATATCATTTTGTTATGGGAACCAGCCTTTAGATTGAACTAACCCCAACTTATATAACTACTTCGGTTCAAAACGAGTTTGGAAATTAAAGAAAAGTAAAATTATGAAGAATTCCATTATACTACTTAACAATATGTATTTATATTCTTAATGTAGTAACTTTCTACATTATATTTATGTAAATAAAATAATAATAAGTGAATGGATTTTAACAATGGAATAACTACTCTTGAATGATGATGGAGGTGATAATAATAATAAGCAGAAAACATAAAAGAATGTAAATTTGTCATGTTTATGAAATAAAAATAATATAGGATGGTTTTTTATAAATTCCTTTATTTAATTATCAAGACGAATACAATGGTGAAATACTGAGCTCTCCCCTATTTCCACTTTAATGTATCTCGTTCTTTTAGATTTTCATATAATTCTAATACATTGTCTACATGAAATACTCAAATGTATTGTAAATGCAGTGAAACAAAGACTACTACTACTGTAGTGAATAAACACTCAGGTGGGGGGGACCAGTTTGTTGATTGATGCATAATCACATGGTCGTTTAGTAAAATGTGAAAATCACACATCAAATATATCATTTGTAAATTTTCTTTGAAGTGTCTCTTACAAGCTTCGCTGTTCCTTCATCCCTGTTTTTATCTTGATGGCTTTCAGCTCCCTTCTCTTTTCTCTTCATTTTAATATTTTCGACCTTCTTCTCGCAGGCATTCTACTTCTGACTGGCGGCGGTATACTACTACTACTACAATTATTATTATTACTACTACCACTACTACCATAAATGACTTTGTTTAACATTCCAGGAACACTATGAGAGATGTTATTATTTTGTTGAACGTGTATCCTATATATATATATATATATATATATATATATATATATATATATATATATATATATATATATATACTAAGGATTTGTATAATTTGACTGTTTGTTGATATTATTTAGACAAGTTGTCTAAACATAAATTCTATTAAACTTTTCTTTATTATCAATGTTCTTTCAATACATTGGTGTAAACTTACACACACCCAGGATATGCACGCATATGCAAAATCAGAAAATCCAATTTAAATAAAGGAAAAAGTTTTATCATTTCAGATGGGCACTAATACGTGTACACGAGCTTACATACATGTACGCAAACAATTAAATGCACACACACACACACACACACACACAGAAACCAAAATGCTTATCGGTTTATTTTCTATAGAAAATAAATGAGAATATCAACCACTTGGAGATGTACATTCATTACCCCTGCTATGATTTATCTAAACAGCCGAAACATCAATTATCATAAATTTTAATGGAAAATCATTCAAAACTATTATTATTCCGTAACCATTCTCCCAGACTACATAATGTTTGTTTTCACAAGATTTTCACTTAGTTGGAAATTATTATGTTGTAAAATGTACATTTTTTTTTCAGAAAATATATTAATGGTTTAATCGTTTTGACCAACAGGTTACTTAGTTAATTGATCTTAGTTGCTATGATCATTTCTGTTGATAAATTTGACTACTGTCAAATCACTGCTAAAAATAGTTCTTCCCCCATAAAACATATGATTTCTGTCAACGTCTACAAATATAGTCTAAATGAATTGCTCGGATTGTGATAATTTTATTTGACTAGACAAATAATCTCTACTATAGTTATATGTCTCAATCACACACACGCACACACATTAGTATTGAATCCCGAAATAGCTTGAATAATAAATTCAATAGTTTACTAACCATACTGTTCATGTGTTCAGATCAAAAGTTTGTTTTTAGTAGGATCTAAGACAGAAACACATACACAAAAAAAACAAGTAAACAAACGACTTTTTTAAGTCTAAAATAGTATTGACAATTATTTACTTCACACACTTTTAAAAAGTGACGATTTTTATGTTCAATCTCCAATGGCAATCAATGTAAACTGCACAGAAACTAAAGTAAGACGAAAAATAAATAAATATTTATAATAAATCTATGAAATTATAAATAGCTCCCATTTGTCAACCTGTTAATCCAATTAATATTACAATCATAGTTTTTCTTAGTAGTATACGAATGGGCGGTTTTTGATAATGGTAACATAAATACGTTCTATCAGGGGTACTTCCTGTCACCAGTTAAAATGTAACAATTAATTGGGAAAAATAATCAACTGAATCTACCTGTCTAACTTTACCAACAGTAATAAATATTATAAGAGAGAATGCTAAAAAAATTAGCTCAATTGTCCAATGAGTGCTTGTTCCGAATATTTAGAAAATCATTATTATTATTATTATTATTATTACCATGATTATAAATAGTAACATTAAACTTGTCAATATTATCACTAAGAGATGAAAATGAAATATATGCAGAAAGTGACCAGTTCATGAAACAATTGAAATAATGGTTCCTACTGCTATTAAGATAATAAATTTGGATAAAATTAAACTGATTATGTTGATGAACTAGTAGTGGTAGTGGTGGTGGTTGTAACGATTTTGGTACCATTTCGTGGAAATTTGTTTTAAAAAACTGAACATACCAATGTTCACGCAATATCACAAATTAGCTGTAGTTATAAATATAAACCATTGGATAACAGCTTAGTGATACAAAAGTTCGTTACTGGTACCGAAGCCTGGAGGTCCAAGATTTGTTCTTTGGTAGAATCATGAATGCTGAGAAGTCCTATAGTGGGGCGAAATTGAACTCTAATCCTTCTTGATTTTCAGTGGTAAGATCCAATAATGTAAAGTACAACAATAAATATTGACTTAATTTTTTTCATTTATTACCAGCCGACATTTTCCATATAGCATCTAGTATATTCAATACCAACGTTTAAATGGCCTGAATATCTATTCAATGAATTGACGATCCTGAATAGATTTACAGATAAAATTACTGCGTAGTTAAAGCAATAAAGTATTTTGTAGATACCATATTTCAATAGATCTACTTCAAGAAATTTTGTCAAGTATTTAAATGTTTCTGCATTTGCGAAAAACACTAACCATACAAAACACCTGTTCAATATTCCAATTTTGTTTGTTATGCTGGTTATTATCTATCATATGCAAATAAATGAAACTACTAGTCTTTTCTTCATATTATTTTCTTCTTGTCAAAGTTACCGAATACATTTTTGTCAAATTCTGGACAACTGTATCTTCAGTTTGTTAGCGACGATACAATTGGTGGTAAAGGTTTTCAAGCACAATATCAAATGATTCCATATGATTTTAAATTACCGAAGCATGAAATCGATTCACAAGTGTTAATCAATCAAATACCATCTCATTCATCTTCCGCTTCTTCTTCATCTTCCTCATCATCATCTCCATCATCAGTTTATTATGGTAAAAACGAAATGTTACAGCAATATCAACCATTTCATGGTAATCGTTATTTATTTCCACCAGCATGGGGCACCGGAAGGATTCGTTATTTTGGTGATATGCGTAGTTCTGAAATGACTGAAAATTATCAATCTACTCGACCTTTTAATTATAATCCGTCATATCAACATGTAAAACATTCATCAACTATACAACAGACAAATCCTATGATCTACTCACAAAATAATATTTATCAACGTCGCGATGGAAGACTTCCTGTTAATCGAGATAATTCCCAATTACCTTGGCGATTTGCTTATACCTATCCACAAGCTAAAAGTTCATCAACTATAACTGCTACTAATAATCTTTTCAGATCCAGTCCGTCATACACAACATATAATTCCCGTTCATCTAAGCAAACTTCAAGTCAAAGTAGATCACCAGCAGAATTTCTACGTACAACTATGCGACCAGTTTCTCCTTTACTATCGCAAAATGCAATAAATTCAAGAAATCCACGTATAAGTAGTACATGGCATGTACGACCTGGTCGTATTGTACACCAACCTCAATTAAATATCATTAACAGAATAATTCAACCAAATTCAAAAAATTACCAATCTTCACCACGTGATATTCTTCGACAAGTAAAATCACATTCGTATCAACGGAAGCAAACAGAACAAAATCCCAAAAGTCCTATGCGTTTTCATGTAATCACTCAAAGGAATCGAAGCCCACCATTGTTTTCCGGTGGTAGCCAATGGAAACAGAGAAGTATGCCTTTGAGTAGTAGATCACGTTGGGATGATAGAGCTATTAGAGCATTTTAATTATTAAATATAAATTATAGTATTGCTTCATTTTCTTCTACAAATGCCTCAATTTTTTTTTCTGGTTTTGTTTTAACTTTATCTAAATTCATAGACGGAATTGATTGTAATGAAAATTAAAATAAGTTTATTTTTGCATAAAGAGAATTTTATTTGTGAGACAATTAAATCTTTAAGGTTTTGTTTAAATGAAACGAAATAAGCTAACTGTTCAATAGATAAACGACGTTTAATATTTCAAGAATAGCTGGAATTACAATCTTATAATAACTAAATTAGTTATTAATTTTAAATGAAAACAATAATCTATTCCCTATTGCATTTTGTATAATAATTAAAAAGTCTATCACTACTGTTAAATTAGGTAATGTTTATTCGAATATATTAACATACAATTAGAAACATGACAAATATATTTGGTGTGGATATGTATTGCATTTTATTATTATTCTATTACTCATTTATTGTAATTTATTCACTCCATATTTCCATGTTTCCATTTGTTTCTCGATTTTTCTTTTTTTTGCATAAAAAATAAGTAAAGTAAATAAAGATGAACACACAATTTAAAACAAACAAACAAACGAATAACCTTTGTATGTATTGAAATTCAAACTTCTTGAATAAATATTGTGATGTAATTAATGTTAGTTGAAACTTTTGTTTATTTCAATGAAAGGTAAATGTGCTAATGAACTGCTAAATAATTTCATTGATTTCCATTATTTAATATGAATTTTAATAGTTGAATTCATAGGTCATTTAAGACTAGACCACTATGGGAAACCTGGAAGCATTGGACGGCCGTTCTATCTTATTGTGAGACTCCTCAACTGATAGGAGCTGATAGGTCCTGGTTTTGAGTCTCGTGAGGCGGGGTTGTGGATTCGCACTGTTGAGGAGTCCCATACTAAGACGAAACGGTCGTCCAATGCTTCCAGGTTTTCCATAGTGGTCTAGCTTTAATTGACAGATGAATTCAACTATTAAAATTACTATAATATCCACAAAACCTCTCTCTATTAAATATGAATATAAAACTAATACTACTGATACTACGACCACTACCACTACTACTACTATGTAGTTTTAAACTAGGGGATAATATTATGACATTAGAAATATAAACGACATTTTTCTCCCAAATTAAAATTAAAATGGAAAACTTTTTCTAATAGTGATTTATAAACAGATGAAATGTCAGTTTCCCACTCTAAACAACATTTACATTTACTCAGCTAATAGAATATTACCGTCGATAAATGATAATTTACTTTATTCATATGTAAAGATAATTTTATTATTTTTTCCAAGTAAACAAGATGAAATTTTAAGATCAAGACATAACTAAAACTAAGAGATAATCACTGGACAAAATTAAATTGAAACGAACATCGTGGACTCTATTGTTAACTACAAATCAATATTAAGCCAAATAGTTTATATATATATATATATATATATGTGTGTCAAAGCATCAGCTTACGATTCACATAGATTTTGTTTTAGTAATATTGTATTCCATGAGCTAGATGATTTAACTAATAACCATTTAGTATTATTCTGGATAACATCAGCGCTAATAACAGACTAGACAAACTGACTTGATTGTCAAAAGAAGATTGGTTAAAAAATTCGTTTAATATCAGAGCATAAAGATATGGATTATGAATATTCTTTTTGATGAATTCTTATCAGATTCTATAGTTATAAATCAACAGTAATGTTTTAGAGGGATGTTCAAGTGTCAGGTAAATATTTTAAAAAATATTATATGAATGTACAGCTGTTGGTAAAATGTGTTAACCGGAGTTGGTAAGTGTGGAACTAGCAAGTGTATAGTGAATATCTGTTTCAGGTTGTAGAACAACTGAAATTAATCGGAGCAACACAAGGATAACATACTGTTAGACAAACAGTAATGCAATTAACAACTACATTGATAATTGTAATTGAGTAGAACTGACATAACTTATGTATATTGGTCAAGTTGGGCCCTTCGAGATGGTTATTTGCTTATTAGGCTTAAGATTAACTAAGTGGTAGCCTGCGAGAGTGAAGGTCCTAGGTTTGGTTCCCAATGGGGTAGTGGATTCCCAATGCTGAACAGTCCCATATTAGCAAGAGATACTCGTCCAGTGTTTTCAATAATGGTATGGCTTAGGTCATTTTATTACTTCAACTATAAAAAATCGTAATTCTACAGCTAATTATGCTTCGACTTATTAGAGAAATTTCAGTGGAAACAGATGAACTTGAGAGATTGAGCAACACAGTTTTTGTTACAATTGGCCGAGATTAGTATTATTGTGACCTTTGCACACACCTATTCCTTTGTGGTCTTTGTAATATGGCAGTGCGACCTAATTCACATCTCTTATTGTGTGCTTTATTTTTTACAATCCTAAATATACTATGATGTTTACCGATATAATTTTCTTGCATGTGGCATAAAAATTTACCTAAAGTCTCATCTCTCTTCTCACTCGCTTGCGGTTGTCATCATGGATGCCCTATTGTACATGAGTCGTTATTCTAGCTAGCAACATAAATTGGTTTTGAAATCAGAGGAAACTGCAGTCATCCTTACTTTGGATTCAAACAATGTAAATTCGCAATAATGGAGACAAGTGATGATTATGCATATAAATGCAGAAAAGCTTGAACGTCTACTTGAATAATAGCTCATATCGATACAGATGTTTTTACTGCTTTCCTTGAAACAAATCATATCAGTCTACTTGATATTGTAAAACTATTGCATTTTTATGTCTAAGATTTCCACAAATTGTCACAATTATTTAAGGTTACGATCAAGGCAAATTACAAATATCTAAGAAAGGATATTTAGTAAAATAAGGAAATAACCAATGGTATTTGTGGGACAAAATGGATTGGTTTATGTTCGGCGATTTTCACACTGCTTACATGAATTCCATCAGGTTTAACTATTCTTTTCAAGATTACTAGAAATGAAACGGATAGAGCGTTGTTTACTCAAACTGAACTTGGAAACATAATAGCTATTAAAAACTTATTTGCTACAGGTGCAGAGTTATACAACACATTTGCATCAATAATAGTATAAATTACAATGACACCACAAGTGACCTTACTCTCACCCTTGTTTGAGTGTGTCCTCAGTCATGTTGTATATTATGAAAAGCGTACTATTTGTCATAAAGTTAAATGTTTTGTACTTCCATCAAATTTAGTGTGAATTCCGTTTATTATCGATGTTATTAAAACTATTCAAGTAATTAGTGCGAAACATACATCGAACTCATTGAAGTTTAGTAACTACGTTGTAAATTATCGGCGCCTTTTCTTATACCTAGATTCTTCCTTATCATACCAGAAGTAGGATGTTTTTCTTCGAGGCGACGAACGCAAACCACCTCAAAAAAGACAATCTCAAAGGTTTTAAAGTCATCAATGATTATTTTGTTCCACTTGTGATCTGAGATAGCCTTGCTCAACTTTAATAATTTATCTGATTTATCTTTTTATAAGGATTTAAGATTTAAAATGTAATTCATGAAATACTGTTTATTCCGAAGAATAAATGTCTATTGAGTGAATCAAACTAACCTCACATCTTGAATAAATGAAGGCTACCATGAATTTGTAGGTTGATAGATAACGTCCTAATATTTAAAGCGATAGTGACTGTATTCGAGTATCTATGCATCCAGGTGAAGAGTCCCGAAAAAGACGATACTCGCATCTGGGATTTCGTTTCTAGTTATCACTTCAAGTTTAATCATATTTACCGTATAGTGCTTGAAATCGAAAGGGATTATCTTATGTTACTTTACTAGATGTCTAAATTATATCCGATAATTAGTAGACTTTGATCAGTAATTAGAGTTTGAGCATAACTGGTTTCCTATCAACAAAACAGTCTGGTTATATTAGGAGTGATTGTTGGTGTAATAGAAGTAGGTATAACTTTGTAACGGTAGATGGATGAGATATTGATAAGTGAATTACCAAGCTTAAAATACAAAAAATAAATAAGTTTATATCAGTCTTCATTTAGACTCCAAACTTGTAAAATGTGCAAGTATTTTAATTAGTATTCCTAATAAATATTGCAATTTTACGTAGTAGGCAATATCTCAGAAACTTTATAATATTTTTCATCATGGACTAACATCAGCTTTAGAATAATTGAGAATCAAATGAGGACCTTGACAGTTGTTTTATCGTTGTTTGAAACTGGTTAATGCTACTGAACTTAATTTTCGATTGTTACCCAATAAACATCCAAAATATTCGCTTCAGACTTATCTAAAATATATTCACTTTCTTTGGATAAAGGATTTTGTTTGAGAGAATATCAGTCTACAAGCTTTTTTAAGTGATGTATGAATCAGGCTGAGTATAAGAATAAATATGTCTTTAAAGCAGTATTTCCTATTCTAAAGTGAAGTACACTATTTATTCAATTATGTGAACTAATAACGCTGAAAAATCACTGTTTTCATCCTTCCCAATTCTTATAAGAAAACACTGTAATGCATACAAACCAGTAAAAATTAGTTCTTTTAGCGTATCACATATCCATTAGGAAAATCGAGATCAAGTAAAAACCCTAACAAGCATGGGATATCAGACAGAAACCAACTTCAATTTATGGTTTCTAGTATTCATCAAAGTCTATTAACTAAATTATGTATTGTGGTGAAGCTAGATAAATCTCATTCAATGTTAAATATCGGGATTTAATAGATGGAAAGCCTATGATCTAAGTTTAGATCTTGTAGACGAAATGTTACCATAACTTCCGGAAATAAACTTTCAGAACCATAACGCATGATCTGGACATTGAATAAAGATTGTGCAAGTTAATTTAATCGAAACTGACAGTTAGAAAACAGGAAAAATACAAAAAGCTTTGGTATTCCAATACACAATTTTTTTTAATGTTTGATAAATGAAAACCAATCACAGTTACTTTACTAGCACTTAAACACAGTCAGTCCCTTCTAAAGAATAGATGAATTGTTGTTCGTAGTAGAATCCAGGATGTACGACTCGTCAGCTGAGTATATTTGTATCCCATTGTTGACGTCCATACAGGGAATCGAACCCTGCACCTTTTACTAGTGAGTCCAGATAACTACTAACTTATTCAACGAGTATACTGTTTAAATCATTATTCGTAAGGGTTACCAACAATAGAATAATTCAAATCCACACCAGTCGGTCCTTCTGTTAAATTTAAGTAATAGGAAGAGAAAGTAATGTTTACTTAAACATATGAAATGTGTAAAGAATTTTAAATCTATTTACCTAATCTTTCCACTTTAATCTGATCTGAAAAGATTAAAAACCAAGCAGATTCTTTGTTGTTTCTTTTTAAAAACAAGAGTTTTTATATAGAATGAGTATCAATGTTTCAAAAAAACAAACACTATGTTACATACTGTATCGTTTAAACTCATAGGAATTAATTAACTTAACTATGTTTAAATAAAGAAATAATAATTCTCTGATTAAACATCTTTTCTTTTAGTGTAAATAATAAAAGAACAAAACAATCTAGTACAATGTTCATTTGTGAACTAGGTATCTAATAGTAGTCTATCTATGCATAATTTCTAAACATATGTCAATGAATTGTGACCTCTGCTATTTAACGTT